GAGAGAGAGAGAGAGAGAGAGAGAGAGAGAGAGAGAGAGAGAGACAAAGGATTCCTTCTTCTTCCCTTTCTTCCACTGGATGTTCTCCATCGCTCCTCCACTTCCCTCCAGAGCTTCTTCTTCTTCTTTTCCTTTCTGCTGAGGTATGAGAGAGAGAGAGAGAGAGTTGACATGGAGTCTCGGTGACGTTCGGGCATTGCCCAATCCAATGACATTGCGATTTGACATTGTATGAGCAGCGACATTGGGGATACATTGGAGACAGGGTTCATCGGGATATGGTGGCTGATCCTCCCTTTCTCCTCCTCCTTTTGTCTCTTCTCCCCCATCCCCGTCCGTGTATGTTTCAGACTCAGCACACTGTGTGATGATGGTTGCAGTCCGATCCTGGTATTTCAGTCTTCCGCTATTTTTGTATTGTCTCTGAGAGGTGCGAGGCTCAAGGCCTCGATATGCCCTTTGGGCCCTATTTTCAGTACAGTCGACCACCCTAAGTGAAGGCAGGCTCGACCAAGGCCTACAGACCCATTTTTGGGGTCACCACGCAGCTGGGGAAATCCAAGCAATTGCGCAGCACCAGTTGGTTGTGGGCGCCCAGGTCCAGGCTGCCTTTTTCGTTCGGACTGGGGCTCAGCGTCACGGGGCCTACCAGAAGCTTTTGGACCGAGGGCCAGTGCACGCAGGCCGCACGCAGCCGGCAGGTCACTTCCATTTAGGAAAAAGCCTGCCCCAACACTCCTCATTCGGGCACTGGTTGCATGCTGCGCAAGTGCTGTTGTGCTACATGCTGGACAGGCTCACGCGCTCACAGGCAAGCAGGGAGAGGCAGGCAACCATAGTCGAGCTGCGCTGCATAGCTGGATGGGGCGCATGGTGGTCCTTGGGTGCACGTGGCATCAGTGAGTGGGGGATCGAGGTCGTGAGTGATACGAGAGACATACCTGGTGCTTGAGGCGAACGACATTGGCCGAGATCTGCTCGTACTTCGAGGAGCTGTTGACGTCACCAGTGGCATTGTAGATAGGCTAGATAGGATCTGCCATTTGTAGTCTGGGCGCAGAGCGGCAGATGGGATGTCAACATTGGTTCTTTGTTGATGATGATGAGACTATTCCAACATTGTCACTTATGATCTTTTGTTGTGCTCTTATTTGGTGGGACTCGTGTTGCAATTCTGCTTTTGGTTCAAGGTCACGACTATCTGGTCTCACGTGTATGATGTTGCTTGGTTTCTGAAGTTCACTATCGCTCATTTTCCTTGCAATTTGGTATCAGAGTTGTGGTACGGTGCGCTAATCTGGCGCTTGTCTTCTGCCTATGCGGTACATGCATGCGGTCTGCTCGGCAAGCGGCCGCAGGGAGTGTGTAGTGAGGAGGGGGAAGGCAAATAGGGCGACCCAAGAGGTGAGGGGTATCGCCAGGAAGGCTATCTGGTGTATATTGGGTGTTCGAAGTGTGATGAGAACTATCTGATGTGCGATTGATGCTGAGGTGGAACGGCGGTGTAATGCTGGTTGTGCCGAAGCAGCGATTAGTCATCACAGTCGCCATCAGGTCATCTGGTGAGAATATTTGTGGTTGGGGGCAGCTATTTTGAGGTACGTTGTTCTTAACCTTATCTACCCTCTTCGACACTTCTTACCGTGAGGATGTGTGTTATGTCTTGAGAGTCCTCTCATGTGAGGAGTCGAGTGCGCTCAACCTTGAGACTCCGCATTGTTCACGTGGAGCATCTGGAAGGAGAGGGCGGAGCTATCTGAAGGGCCCTGGACGAAGCACTGGGTCACGGTCACCATGCCAACCCACCAGGAGTAGAGCACGCATGCTTTGCTGCTTTGTCCTTTGTCTGCCTGCTTCGCTGATAGATGGGTGACGAGGGGCAGGCCAGCCCTACAGGGAAGACGAGAACCGGGTGTCTATAAATAAGCACCGGCAGGGCACCTTCCATTGGTTGTGATCGTCGTCCTGTCTGCAACGCTAAATAATTCCTGAGGACTCCGGGGACCGTCCTAAAACGCCTCCTAATCAGCCGATCGGTCGGTGTAAGGCTCGCTGCACGCGAGGATAAAAATAGTGCAGGGCTGGCCAGCTCAGCATACACTCGCGGCACAAGGGTGGACCGTGTGCACACCTTTAGACATGCACGCTATCTAGATTGCTCAGGAACGCTGACGTCAAGTGACTTTTAGGAAGAATTGAGGAAGGGGTAGATTCCAGGTGATAAGTTCGAGCAAATTCCAATCTGCAAACAAACCCAACAAATGATTCTATTTCTATTTTGATTAGTTAGATGTACAACCATTAACATCTAACAGACAGCATAGTTAGAACTGTTCTCTGTTCATTGTGCTTTCTGTTTGCGAACTAGTCAAAGTAGAAATAGTTTTGTTTGTAGGAATGTGAACTTACCTGTTGGACCCAAATGTGTAGTCTCTGACATAGCCACCGACTATTTATTTTATTTCAATCGGTTTGTACATCATGCTGCGATAGGCATCGAGAATGTCCTAGTGTAGACCGTGTACAGTGTTGTAGCCTATGAGTCACAAGGAGGTCCCACAACCGGACGATAGGATCTTGCGATCAGTAAGACGCCCGATAGCCCACTTGGCATTAGGACCAGAGGGCGATAGATACCTGTTCCGCCAGCAGAGGGAGACAGCAGCAGCAGCGGAGGGCTAGGGCCGCAGAGGCAAGCAGGACATTTGTGAGCGAGGCCACTACTTCAGCTGCCATGGCAACTGCTGCGCAGCAGAGCTCTCAGGCTAGTAGTTCAAGGACTGTAGGGTAAACGGTCGCACAGGCCCTGAGTCAGTCCACTGGCGTTATGGCAAGCCAGCCGATAGTGTTGACCCCCGAGGAGGTTGCCATACACTGAACAACTATTCGCGAGGCATAGCTACAGCAGGCGTTAGGAGAGATCAAGGCAGAGAAGGAGAAAATGGTTAGAAGAAGAGTCAGGATGCAGCGGAGACACGCGGACGTTAGTGAGTTAGACGGGATGGATCTCACACGCATGGATGATGATGTGAGGACCCTACGGACCGTCCTGCTAGATGTAGTAGAAATGCAGGATCACCAGATGGCTCTCTTACAGGACATCTAGCAGAGTATGGCCGTATTGGCCGGGCAGGTGCAGGCAGACCCATTGCCGTCCGGGCCCGGTGCCTAGCCCGTTGTACATCCTCCTCCTTTTGTCCCACCGGTGACTGGAGTATCCCCATATGTATCTCCAGTATCGGAACAAGCTGTTTCCCTGAGTATGCCTTTGACAGGCGGGTTCTCAGCGGGTCCTAGTGTGCAGGTTCCTGTACAGCCAGTGTATTCCCAACCTTCGTTGCAGGTTGTCGTAACCGGGCAGCGTGCTGTCTCACAGCCTGCACAGTCGTAGGGTACACAGCCCCAGCAGCAGCTAGTGCAACAGCCTGGTCCCCAAGGTCCACAGCCTGGAGTGGGACAGGTACCGGGACAAAACCAGTGGGTTCCGAAAACGGCCATCGCGTCCCCCAAACCCTTTTCAGGGGACAAGAGGGGCGAAGACCTCGACACATGGTTGAGGTCAGTGCCAGTCTATGTCAAGTGTAAGTTGACCTTGCCTCACGAGGAAGTGTTTGTGGCTGCCTCCTATTTAGAGGGGAGTGCAGCAAGATGGTTGAGTGGTTTAGTGCAGCTACAAGGATATGGTCATGACTTCCGCGCTTGGGCAGTCAAACAGAAACTGGAGGACTTCCTTAAGCTGATGGAAGAAAGGTGGCATGATCCTCAGGAGACTCAAAAGGCCACTGACGCGATCCTGACTTTGAACAACAGGCAGTTCAAGTCAGTAAGGGAGGCCACAGATGCAGTAGAGCGTCTGATCTGTGTTCCTTGAGGACGCTACGACCCCCAAGTCTTACTCACTGCATAACTGAGATGTTTTCCTATGCCTCTTAGGAATCAGTTGGCAGGTGAGGCCAACATCAATATGCACAACTTTCCCTCGTTCAGCAAGAAGGCCCTAGACCTAGAGGCAAAGATAGGGCATGGACATACACCGACGACGAATGGTAGGAAGAAGGCACTGCCTCCCAACTGGAAGGTGAAAGGTCGCTTAATGTTCGTTGACAACGATGGTTCTACCATCGAGTTAGAAGACGACTTCCAAGCGGGAGCGGGTTCAGAGGCGAGCAGCGTAGAAGTTTCAAGGGGGTGGAACAGTCGCTGCCTCTGTCCAGAAAGGTAAGGCGACCGGTAGACGCCGTGGAGGTTCCCGATCCAGGAGTCAAGTTGACCCCAACTCTCCTCCATGGGAAAAAGCAGGTCTCACAGAGGACGTGTGGAGATACCGGTATACCAGGCAAGCCTGTATTCATTGTGGTCAATATGGCCATAACCAGTTCAAATGCCGCAACAAGAAGGTGACCGAGAAGATCCCGCCTACAATGGGGCAGGCGTTGGGATCCTCCACTCCCTTAGGTAGCAATGTGGCCAGCGCCAGGAAACACGTCGGGCCAGTAGGAATAGTAGTTGTTCCTGCTAGAGTCGAGGTGGTGGACACACCCTTACCATCTCGAGACATGGCCCAAGCTACTGACTCCGTTGTCGTCCCGCAAACACATTCAGACCCATCGAGCCTCTGTTCGAGGAATGTGTTTGAGTCCTTAGAGGAGTTAGAGGAGGAGTGGTTTAAATCAGACCCGCTAGCTTCTTGGACGGCACTGGCTAAAGCCCCTAAGGGCGAGATGTCCGTCGACGAGGTGGTCATCGGCGGCCGCAAGGGCGGGGCCTGTTATGACACTTGCTCGACGCAGAATTTCATTAGTCGTGCGTGCGTTGAGAGGCTGCACTTATAGGGGCAAGTGCAGCGCCTGAGTCGACCTGTGGAGTCGATCTGTGCCAACAAACAACGCATGGTAGTCACTGACTATCTTAAAGACATTGAGTGTCTTTTCCCGTAAGCGGGAGGGGAACTGAGACATCGCATCTCGTTCCTAGTCAGCGATGATCTCCCAATGGACATCCTATTGGTATGTACTATCTTTCGGTTGCACAACCCCGGTTTGACTGGGACCGAAAAGTGGTCAAGCACACTTTGCCCAGTGGAGGGACCGCCAGATTACGTAAGTTCAAGGCTAGTAGTCTGATCGAGTCCTATGGATGCATGTGTGCGGCCGCATTCTATAATTATTATAAGCAAAATCCGGAGGAGGATATATATCTAGTTTACGTCTCTGCAGCAGGCGAACCGGTGAAAATGTCACCGGAGATAGAGGGAGTAGTCGCTAAATACCCTGATCTATTTGAAGAGCCGAAAGGGGTCGTTGAGAAGGAGGTCGTCCACGCGATAGAGATTATCCCAGGGTCCAACATTCTGAAGGCTAGGATCTATCGGATGTTTTCAGGCGAGCTTGATGAGCTTCGCCGGCAGCTCAAGGAACTCATAGAGAAGGGTTGGATCCGACTGAGTGTCTCCACTTACGTATCTCCAGTCTTATTTGTACCGAAGAAGGGGGGGACTTTGAGGATGTGCATTGATTATAGGGGCCTCAATGCCATCACTATTAAGAACCGAGAGCCCCTACCGGCATCGATGACTTGTTGGACGGAGTGCAAGGGTGCCGGTACTTCAGTAAGATAGATCTGAAGTCCGGGTACCATCAGATTGCAATACGGCCTGAGGATCAACACAAAACTGCTTTTCAGACCAGGTACGGACTGTACGAGTTTGTGGTGATGCCTTTCGGCCTTTGCAATGTTCCTGGCACCTTTCAGCACGCAATGAATCGGATCTTTCATGACTACTTAGATAAGTTTGTCATCGTGTACCTTGATGACATCCTTATCTTCAGTAGGACTGTCGAGGAGCACGTCGGTCACTTAGACAAAGTCCTTAGTCTCCTTAGGCAGCACAAGTTCAAGATCAACGGCGAGAAGTGCGAGTTTGGCCGCGCCCGTATCCTGTACTTGGGTCATGAGATTTCCGCAGAGGGATTGAAGCCCGATGATGCGAAGGTGGCCAGCATTCGTGACTGGCCGCGTCCTCAGTCTGTGACTGAGATGAGGTCCTTCTTAGGGATGACCGGCTACTATCGCAATTTTGTGAAGAAATATAGCATAATTGTCGCCCCTTTGACGGACCTGACACGCCTTGACACCCCCTGGGAGTGGACAGACAAGTGTGAGGCTGCTTTCAGACATCTGAAGCATGCCCTCACTCACCATGAGGTCTTGAAGCTACCCGATCCTAACAAGCCATTTGTTGTGACCATGGATGCCAGCCAATTTGGCATTGGTGTCGTACTTGCGCAGCAGGAGGGGAAGAAGTTGAGGCCAGTTGAGTACATGTCCAAAAAGATGCCCTTCTAGAAGTTGGCTAAGTCCACCTATGAGAAAGAGCTCTATGCGATTTACAAAGCATTGACTCGCTGGAGGCATTACCTCCTTGGTCGCTTCTTCTACGTCAGGACTGATCATCAGACCCTGAGGTGGATGAAGATTCAACCGGTACTCTCCGATGCTCTGAAGTGTTGGATTGAAGTCATAGAGCAGTATGACTTCGAACCCCAGTACATTAAGGGGGAGTACAACAAGGTTGCTGATGCGTTGTCGCGTAGGCCAGACTTCCTGGGTGCACTGATCACTGAGTTTGGGCTTGCGGACGATGTTACTCAAGTCTTTGGTGGAAGCCTATCGCGAGGATCCGTTCATGTCATAGATCATATGCAGACTCGAGGAGAAGGATAAAGCGACGTCTGAAGAGTTTGAGTTGATCAATGGTCCGCTGTTCCTTGAGAAGGCCGGGAATAAACGCCTATGTGTTCCAAATCAGGAGGCTTTGCGTAGTTTATTTTTAGGCGAGTGTCATGACGCCACCGGACATTTTGGATACAGGAAGACTGCAGCAAACTTGTTGCAGCGGTTCTGGTGGCCCACAATGATGAAGGATGCAAAGCTGTACGTGGAGACAAGCCACGCACCCAGGCCCCTCTTGGGCTTCTTAAGCCCCTTCCGATTATGGAAAGGCCCGGTGAGAGCCTGCCCATGGACTTCATGGACACGCTGGTCACCAGCAAGAGCGGAATGAGACACATCTTTGTTATTGTGGACAGGTTTAGTAAGTACGCTAGGTTAGTTGCAATGCCAAAAACAGTGAAAACCGAGTACGTAATCAGACTGTTTAAGGAAAACTGGGTCCGGGACTTTGGATTGCCAAAGTCTATTATCAGCGACCGGGATGTCAGATTCACGAGCGAGTTGTGGAAGGCTGCAGCTGCAGAACAGGGCACCCAGTTACAAATGACTTCCGGGAACCATCCAGAAGCAAACGGGCAAGCAGAGCAGCTGAATCGCACTGTTCAACACCTGCTGAGGCATTATATGAAGCCTAATCAGTTGGACTGGGATGAGAAACTTGCTCTCATCACCAGTCTCTATAGCAACACCGTGCACAGCGCAACAGGGGTGAGCCCCAACAGTCTGCTACTGACTTTTAAACCTAGATTTCCACTAGATTTCCTCTTACCTGAGAATCAGCCTTCTGCTGCACCAGGCACCTTAGAATTTGCGTATCGATATCAGCACATGATGCAGCAAGCTGTAGAACAGATGCACAAGGCACAGGCGGCGATGATAGAGTCTGAGAACAAACACCGCCGCCCATTTACATTTCAGGTAGGGGACAGGGTCTGGGTCAAGTCCTCAGAACTGGGACAGGAGCACGGGATCTCCCGCAAGCTCATGCCACAGTACTTTGGACCATGGGAGGTTCTCGATATTGTCGAGGGCGATCCGGATGGGCCGTTATATGTAATTCGGATTCCTGGTCACCTTCGCACTTACCCTGTCTTTCACCCCCCCAAACTTGCACCTTTCAAGGAAACTGACCAGTTTCCCTCTCGTCGCTCAATGCTGCCCCCAACCATGGATGGAGAGGTCGACATCGATGACATCGTGGACCACACGGAAATGCCAGTTCCAAGACCAACAGGCAGGTGACGTCCTCCTAAGCCGAAGCTGCAGTATCGTGTTCGGTTCAGACATCACGCTAATCCTAAGGAGGACAGATGGTTTACCAGGGAGGAACTAATGCAGGCCGCTCCACAGGCTGTCGCTCACTACAAGAAGTCACTGCAGAAAGGAAAGCGCCAGATTGAGTAATGGGACTTCTCAAAGGACTGTCGAAGTATGGAGGAGGGAATGCGAGGCTCAAGGCCTCGATACACCCTACTGGGCCCTATTTTCAGTACAGTCCGCCGCCCTAAGTGAAGGCAGGCTCGACCAAGGCCTACAGACCCATTTTTGGGGTAACCACGCAACTCGGGAAATTCAGGCAGTTGCGCAGCGCCAGTTGGTTGTGGGCGCCCAGGCCCAGGCTGCCTTTTTCGTTCGGACTGGGCCTCAGCCTCACGGGGCCTACCGAAAGCTTCTGGACCGAGGCCCAGTGCAGGCAGGCCGCACGCAGCCGGCAGGTCACTTCCATTTAGGAAAGTGCCTGCCCCAGCACTCCTCATTCGGGCACTGGCTGCATGCTGCGCTACACGCTGGCCAGGCTCACGCGCTCACAGGCGAGCAGGGAGAGGCAGGCAGCCATAGCCGAGCTGCGCTGCATAGCTGGATGGGGCACATGGTGGTCCTTGGGTGCACGTGGCATCTGTGAGTGGGGGATCAAGGTTGTGAGTGATACGAGAGACATACCTGGTGCTTGAGGCGAACGGCATTGGCCGAGATCTGCCCGTACTTCAGGGAGCTGTTGACGTCACCAGCGGCATTGTAGATAGGCTAGATAGGATCTTCCATTTGTAGTCTGGGCGCATAGCACCAGATAGGATGTCGACATTGGTTCTTTGTTGATGATGATGAGACTATTCGAACGTTGTCACTTATGAGCTTTTGCTGTGCTCTTATTTGGTGGGACTCGTGTTGCAATTCTGCTTTTGGTTCGAGGTCACGACTATCTGGTCTCATGTGTATGATGCTGCTTGGTTCCGAAGTTCGCTATCGCTCATTTTCCTTGCAGAGGTCCTTTCTTGGTTCTGATCGATGCCGATTGGGCATGCGACAGTCACACACCAAGTTCAAAAAGGCAATAAAAACACGGCGCGACTTTCAAAACAGGCGGGTCAGGTTTTTTTGCAGACGAGGGGCCATGGTGTCCAGACTGTCATTGTCATAGAGATTGCCAACGATCCAATTTCTTGGCCTGGTTATTGACCGCAGCCCACAAGCGGTTACCAGGGACCCCCGCTTTTCAGCCC